TAACTATAAGAATACTTACTAACTACTAACTACTAGTAGTATTAGTAGTACGTACCTTACGTACTTACTAACGTAAATAAGTACGTACACCACTACTAGTATATATATATATATATATATATATATATATATATATATATATAAGTTATGTTAATACTCATACAAAAGAGTATTTTTTTAAGATAATCCATATTTTCATTTATTAACTATAGTGGATGATAGCATCACCTACATGATGTGTGACATCACCCACATAGAATAATGATTGCTATATGTATATATATAGTAGAGGATGACATCACCCACATGAAGTATGACATCACCCAAATAGAACAATGATTGCTTCATATATATATATATATATATATATATATCAAGAGAGAGAGAGAGAGAAAATAAAAGGTTTCAAATGCTCATAAGTGAATTTGTAAAGTATTTCACTCATGGTTCATCACCATCCAAAATTCATCAAATGGTCACAGTTGTCTGATAGTATTTGAATCTTAATAATTTTTTTATAAATCAGATTAACCAAAAATTTCGTGGGTGTGTACACCTCAATGAGGTGCACCTATATAAAATATAAAAAACAATTTAAAAACATAAAACCCCTATAAATATTTCAGGGGTATTTTTGTCATTTTATTTTTCAATAACTACTTTTTGAAATCGTGCAAGTTGGTTTGATGTGTACATGTCCCAAATTCACTCGTAGGTGTTGGCAAGAATATATATATATATATATATATATATATATATATATATATATATGAGAAAAAACACAAACAAAATAAAAGAAATAAAGCACGACCACTCTTAATTACCAGTCAAACCAAGAGGTCGAAGATCCCACAAGACAAGGTGGTTGTCAGTGCCATCAGTGACAAGCTTGTAGCCCTTGCTCATCAAGTAGTTCCCTATGGCAACCGCGTTGGCCCTGACTTGTTTAGCATATACCTTGAACCCAGGGGTCATCACTTGCTTCAAGGCAACAGCCAATGCAGCAATCTGGTGGTTGTGCGGGCCTCCTTGAAGAGCAGGGAAAACCGCAAAATTGATCTTGTCCTCAAAGTCATAAACAGCACCCTCTGGTTGGCCCTTCTTGGGAGGCTTGGGCCCTTTCCTAAAGAAAATCATACCGGCTCTTGGTCCCCTTAAGCTCTTATGAGTGGTGGTTGTGACAATGTCACAGTAATCAAATGGGTTTGCAGCTTCCTGTTGAGAAGGTCAGAAGGAAGGGAAAAAGAGGAGAATGAGTGTTGAAAGGACAGATTTAACGCAAAAGTGAAACTCATGCAAAAGTAGTCAACAATTTGAATATATATCACACGACATGGAAGCCATCCGTTTTTTATTATTGGATTGGTATAGAAACCAATAAGACACCTTATTAGAGCACTAATTTCAAAGTCCTATACCTCAGCAGCATATTCACTTGCCAATAGAAAAATTATGTCCAGTCAAAAAGAGATGTAGGGTCCAAAATGTTCACAAAATCCAAATCAAACCGAGAAAAAAGAGACCCTAAATTGTTACGGATGCCATGATGGTTCTTAATCAATATTCAATGAAATTCAAAGAATGCTCTATGCCTAGATCTATATAAAGGATGGATCTTTGGAACAAAAACATGCCTAAATAAGGCTAGCCCTAGATCTACAGATCAAGTATAGAAAAGATAAAATCTATCAATTCCTTTGATATCAAGACCAATTGCACAGTATTACCACAGGAAAATTCCAATCCAATTGCACAGTATTACAACAGGAAAATTCCAATCTGTTACTATCTTTTCAAAAAAAGGAGAACATCAATTCCTTTGATATCAAGACCAATTTGCAGAGCTCGCTGCCCTTGCAGTATTTTGTTTTACTTTTTTTCTTTTTTGATTGGCAATAAGAATAAATCTGATATCAAGACCAATTTGCAGAGCTCGCCCTTCCAGTATTTTGTTTTTCTTTTTTTCTTTTTTGATCGGCAATAAGAATAAATCTTTTAAATTTCAAAGGGAACAAAAAGCGAAATACAAATCAGAACAGAAAAAATATCAGAGATCTAAGGATAAAGGCCAAGTTTAACACCGAAATAAATTTTAAAAAATTCGAAGTTTTTATTTCAAACCAAGTTTAGCCCAATTCTTTGTATCCTGATGATCTAGACATAGCCTTTCCTTCAGTCCAACGCAGGTTACCACAGGAAAAAAGAAACTCAAAGATCTAAGAAAAAGCACTTCAGAGATCTACAAATTCATCAGCGAATAATAAAACGTCTCGATAACTGCTCCATTTCAAGCACAAATATTTTGGCGTACCAATCCAAATTTCAATCAGCTACAACACAAATTTAAAAAATTGAAGCTTTTCTTATGTTTTCAACAGAAAATCAGATTTTTTTTTTCAGAAAATTGGATCTTTTTGATTACCAATTTTTTACAAATGTAGAAATCAAAATGTTCAGAAAGAGACAAAAGAATAATAGAAAACCAATTCGGGTTTCTATTATCCTTTTGTCTCTTTCACCATCTAATGGGATTTGGGAAACACTTCAATTCATGTCACAGTAACTTGGATCCAGCAGCAAGAATTCTGGAAATTGAACACAATTGAGAAAAGGCACACATTCTCATCTTCTTCAGATTAAAACTAACCCGCACATTCCAATTTAAGATTTCACGGGGAAAAAAAAAAAAGGAATACCAAGAATGGTGACAGAAAACCCAGATCTGGAAATTCCAGCATGCAGCTAAAAAAAATCGAGAATTGAGTACACAATAAACAAATAAATTTAGAGAGAGAAATGTTGGGTACCTGAGCGGCCACAAGCCCACTTATGTGGGCCATATCACAGAGCAATAGAGCCCCGCACTTGTCTGCAATTGCCCTGAGCCTGGCATAATCCCAGTCCCTGGGGTATGCACTGCCACCGCAGATAATCAGCTTTGGCCTGAAATCCATCGCCTTCTCCTCCAACTTCTCATAATCAATGTATCCAGTTTGGGAGTGCACCTTATAGGGCAAACTCTCAAAGTAAATGGAGGTGGCTGAAATCTTCTTCCCCCCAGATGTATAGTACCCGTGCGTCAAATGCCCACCTGAAGGCAGATCCAATCCCATAATGCGATCATGAGGGTTTAACAGAGCGGTGTAAGCGGCGAAGTTCGCAGGGCTCCCCGAATAAGGCTGAACATTTACGCCCCATTTGGCAGGGTCGCAGCGGAAGGCTTGGAGGGCCCTGGCGCCACAGAGGTTCTCAATTTGGTCGATGAATTCGTTTCCGCCGTAGTAGCGGTTCCCAGGGAGGCCCTCAGAGTACTTGTTGGTGAGGGGGCTGCCAAGGGCCTCAATGACAGCCAGAGAAGTGAAGTTTTCGGAGGCGATAAGCTCAATCCCATGGGACTGGCGCCGCTTCTCCTTCTCGATGAGGTCGTAAATCTCAGTGTCGACGGCTTCCAGAGGGGTTCGGCCCCATTCGCTCACCGGCTCCATTGTTTCCCTCTCTAGGTTTGGGAGATCTAGAGATGTCTGCGAGAGATTTGGGGATGAGAGAGAGAGGAAGGGGAAGCGGTTTTTCCCTCTGAGGTGGGGAGATCTGGGGATGAGAGAAGGAGTGAGGCGGGGCGATCTGGGGATGAGAGAAGGAGAGTGGAGTTGCTGCCTCGACCTGTGGGTATAGAGAGATGGAGGAGACGGGGTTGTTTTGGAGTTTATATAAGAGCAATACATGGATCTGGTATTGTGCTTCTTCACCTAAGATTTGGGGTTTGGTGAGTAGCTACTGTGATTTCTTTACTTTGAAAGGGTTAGGGTTTATTCTTGAGGTTTTCTCAACGCTATTTTATTACTGAGAGGATACCCTTCATTGATCCTATTTTAAGCAACCATACACATATACTTTACGAATTTAATATACTTTCCATTAGTGCATTGGAAGTTGATTACGTTTACTAAGCTCCGCGGTACGATTCGGATCGGGTTCATTATAGACTCGGAACCGTGTGCTTCGAATGGGGACCTAAAAGGCTGAAACTAACATGTCGAGACCTTTCCTTAGATGTGGACTTTCGACATAACCGTGTACACGTGGTTTTACGAAGCATGAGACATAAAAATTCAATTGTCATGCCTCCCAAAAACTCGTGATTATGTTAATTTTTTATTTCTCAAACATTAAAATTTTAAAAATAAGAATTGTGTTCATTTTATTTAAAAATCTAAAAGTAAGAACTATGCTACTTTAAGAAATACATTCTCTTAATTTAGATTCTAACTATCAAAAACTTAAGAAAAAAATTCGTGACTTACCTTTTAAAATTAAAATTAACAAATGAAGAATTAATTCATTTTCTAATAAATAATATATGTCCTAAATTTAGATTTATACAAAATTAATAAAAATATAATAATTATTTTAAATTTTAATGTCCTTAAATTAGAAGAAACCTTTGTATGCCTAGAATAAACGTTAAAATTAATATAATGATTATTATTAGGATGATGATTACTAATTTACTTATAATATTCTCATAATTGGTAACAAAAAATCATTGATAACACATGATTTTTCATTGATGATCATTAGTATATTGGTATTATCAACATTACTCACCTAAGCTAAATGGAATAAACGATGCAAATTAAAGGACTGGCAAAGATATCGAGTATATAAATTTTAAAAAGGCTCTATAACAAATCTAGTAATTCAATTTTTACTATATATATATATATATATAGCTAAATAGTTATAAAAAAAATGTAAAGTTTTACTATAAATTAAATAAACATATGTAATATGTGATTGTAATTTAAATCATTGGACAATCAAAATGTTTAACAATAGTGGTGTAGATATTAAAAAAGAAAAAAGAAAAGAAAAAAGTGAAGCCCTAAACTTAAGAGAAAAACTTGAATTAAGAGCAACAAAACATGATTTATAATAGTTTATTTGTGGCTATCCCTCCTTTTTTTTTTATGTTCATGATTTAGCGTCCCCTAACAATTCAAAAATCCAAAATTTATCTGAAAATTAAATTTCAAGATTTTTAAAATTCCAAAAAATTGCAAAAAAAAGTTTGCCTCCCAACAATTTTAAGTCGATGGGGGAGAAGGCCCCCTACCAGTTTTTTATTAATATTTAAAAATAAAGACGATTACAGCACATTTCTTTACAACCGTGGAACATGGCACCTATAACAATTCATGAAAAACATGGCACCTGTAACAAATCATGAAATAAACCAAGGGAAATGAAGTCCAGCGGATGCGAACACCAGTAGCTTGTGAAAGAGATGTGGTTCTCTTTACTAGAATGTCAGCCACCATGTTGGCCTAACGAAAAATTTAGAAGATGGACCACCCACCATTGGAAAGACGTTGTCTACAATTTGCAATAATCGTATATAACTTCCAAGGAGATCGATAGTGTTCATGAATAACATTGACGAGTAAAGCTGAGTCATTTTCAATCTGAAAAGGAAAAAACTTTAGCTAAAAGGCTAGGACCAGACCTTCTTCTAAAATAGAGAATTCTAGATAATTATTAGCAGCAATTCCACAAGGTTTTGAGAATGCCGCAATAACAGTCCCATCACAATCTCTAATTGCACCACCCCCACCTGGGTTATGCGAGGAGGCCCCATCAATGTTTAACTTGAAAATAATTAGGGCTAGGAAATGACCACACCACCGGGCAACCAACTGATCCATCTACTGTTGCCAATTGAACTGCATATTATTAATGATTGCTTTTCCTGCGACATGAAATTCTCAGGCTTTAGCATCAGCTAACTCTTGATACAATGAGATCACAATTACTTACAATCATCCAATGTGAAATTTGATGACTAAGTGTATGTCGCAAAGTTCGAGAAAATTTCTTTTAAAGTTTGAGCTTAGTCAATGAAATAAATAAAACTATTCAATTTTACATCCAATGGTCAAAATTAATTGTGACCACCTTGTACCAAAGATAAATGGTCTCATTGTACATTTTTCCACGATTTTATTTGCTAATAAAATTTGTCTCAACAATTTCAGATTTTAAAAATTTGAAAATTACATTTTTGGATTTTAAAAATCCAAAAATGGTAAAAAATATGTTCCAACAATTATATTTAACTAAAAAGAAGGCATACCAATAATTTTAGATCATGAAAGTCTAAAATTTATTTGAAAAGCAAAATTTCCAATTTAAAAATCTAAATATTTTATTTAGTGTCCCAACAATTTCGAAATCAATTTTGGTAGTTTATACTGCGATGAAGTTTGGTGAGCGAAGAAGTTGAGCAACCAGTCTTGAATGAGCAATAAAGCATAAGCTTTAGTTGCACTGAGAGAGACGGTTTTTGACACTATATTTTTGTCGGTAAACGGGAAAGAGAAGCTGTGCATTGACAAAAAAAAAGAAAAAAAGTTTAGAGAAAGAAAATAATTTGGTTTTCAAATTATTTTCATTCAAAATTTTTAAATTATTTTAATTCAAAATTTAAAGTAATTTAAATTATAATCAAGAATTTAATATCTACTATATATAGCCAAATAATTACCATCAAAATGTTTAACATTGATGGGTATATATATTAAAAAAAAATAGTGAAGCCCTCAAATTTAGAGAAAAAATGAATAAAGAAAGCATGATTTATAATTGTTTCTGTGTGATCATCCTTCCTTTCTTAATGTTCAAGATTTTTAGAGTCCATTAACAATTCACAATTACAAAATTTATCTGAAAATCAAATTTCAAGATTTTAAAAATCGAAAAAATTGCAAAAAAAAATAAATATCCCAACAATTTTATTTACCAAAAAAAAATGTCTCAACAATTTCACATTATGAAAATCTGAAGTTTAATTGAAAATTACATTTTTGGATTTTAAAACTCCAAAAAATGCAAAATAAAAAAAGTCCCAACAATTATATTTAACCAAAAAGAATGCAGCACAACAATTTTCAATCCTGAAAATCCAAAATTTATTGAAAATTAAAATTTCTGATTTTAAAAATTCAAAAATACTATTTAATGTTCCAACAATTTAGAAATCAAATTTATATTTTCAAAATCCAAAAATGGCATTTTAGCATCCTAAACATTTTCATATTTTAAAAAATCCTTTTTAAAGTAAAAATTCCTAGACTTAAAAGTTTCAAATTACTTTCATCCAAAATTGAAGAAACCTTAATCTAATTTTAATTATTTTGAAAATATTTATTTAACTCCAAATCAATGTAACTGACTCATTTAGTTATATTTCTTAGTTCATTAATTATGCATAATTGTGTAATGTATGTCAATACTATATTTCTACTTAAATTTTGAATAACATAATATATCACGACTAATAATTCTTAATTCCTAAATTTTCATATCCAAAAATTATGAAAAGTGTTTTTTGGATATCAAAATTGCAAAAGTAATATCTACATACTTCTACAAAAGATTAGAGTGAGGATCTTTGGCCACAGTTAGAGAGAGAGAGAGTATGCTTCCCAACACTTAGTCTACAGTCTACACTACAACCCCAACATTCTATTAGAGTATGCTTCCCAATGCTTAGTCTACGCTCTACAATACAATCCCAACATTCCATTTCCAACTTCATTCGCAGCCCCATATTTAACAACCAAAGGAAAAGCAAAATTCACCAACATGATCTTCATAGAGTAATCATAATTAAAAAACTTGGACTTATTATTAGGTGTATGTTTATTCAAAACAAACAGTGAACAAATATTAGGATACATGAAGTGCAAGAAAAGACAACCAAAATGAATTTGGACTCAAATTAAAAAAATAAAAAATGAATTTGGACTTTAATTTTAAAAAAGAAAAAAAAAGAGAACAAAATCAACATAAACAATGAATTGAGAATTCAATAGCCCGACATGCAAGACAAATCATTGAAACTTAATTTATTCTCTAAAATTAAATGAACAAAAAAATCGAGATCCTGCACACTTTTGATGTGAGATTTGAAGGAAATCGGCGTAAAAAATTTGTCCGTGCTTTTAGACAGCAAAGGCAATCCAATCCTCCAAAAGTTTTCCATTTTCTCGATACACCCCAAATTCATACACCATAGATAGAATAGACGAACCATAATGAGTAGATGCGTAAAAGTAAGAAGATTAAGATATTTTCGTTGCCATTTACATCTGAGAGTAGATGCGTAAAAGTAAGAAGATAAGATATTTTCATTGCCATTTACATCTGAGAGGTTCCCATACAATACAATGGTTACATCACACTCCCTGGTTAAGATAATTCCAGACATACACCGCACTTCATGCCCCTTTAAAATCTAAGAGAGAATAAATTGTGATGCATCAAAGGGACATGGGGATTAGGAGACTGTTGGAGTTAAAGTTCCAACTTCTCACCTTGTGTTAGGGAGCAGAGAATGATTTGAGAGAAAGTAATTTCCTTTTGCTTGAGAATTAAAACTTGGGACATCCGAGAGAGATACCTAGGGACTTTAAATAAAGAGTACCCCCTTCTTAAGGGTGTAATATAACAGTCAAAGCACCCTTTTTTTGATGGTGCAAATCCTCGTAAATTATCTTTTGTTTATTTTTTGAACAACTCGTTTTGCTTGAAGGCGGGATACGTTATCCATTTGAGAGAAATATATTTTAGATATATATCCATAAGAAAATATTGAGATTAGCCCACTAGTTCATATGAGTACATATGAGCCTCATGGTCCAGATTGAAATTCAGAAAAATTCAACTAACAATTCTAAAAATCATTTAACATTAAAACATAATTAAATACTTTTGATGGGAAAATGATCTATATGGTCTCAGAATAAATACATAAGGCACTCCACCTTCTATTGTGAACTACGGCCCACA